AACTGCAGAAATAACAACTGCTGCCCTTATTGATGCTAAAATTATCACTGAAGGAAACACATGCTTAACTTGTTGTATTTTTTTTTTGATGGTAGAAAAGATGATACTAAAAATTTTTTTGATGTAGAAGGCAGAAAATTCCCAGGTTTAATAAAAGAAGAACATTATACTGTTTGCAGTGAACCTGGTGGAAATTATCTATTCCATTTTGTTCTTGAAGAATTAGATTTAAAAAAACCTTCAGAGATAATTGCTGATCATTCAACTGATTTACTTTTAAAAAAATGTTTATATTCAACATAGGAAGCTATAGGTTGTGATAGTACTAACGTAAATACTGGATGGGCAAGAGGAGTGATACAATGGGTTGAAAAAAAACTTAATAAAAAACTTGTATGGATTATGTGTGATCTGCACACTGGGGAACTAGTGTTAAGAATTCTTATTAAGTTTCTTGATAGTCCTACTAAAGCCAGTAATCATTGGTCAGAACTGCTAGGTAAAATGTTGAATGATGCTACCAACCTTGAAATTAACCCAGCATTTTTAAAAGTGTGTGAAAACTCTCCACTTATCTACCTCAGTTCTGACATTATCAAAGATCTAAGCATCTATCAGAGCTATGTGTATCAAGTTGTGACATCTATTAAAACTGGGGTTCTGCCTAAGAGACTTGCATTACTAGAAATTGGTCCTGTTTGTCATAGTAGATGGCTAACTTCTGCTTTAAGGTTGGGCAGAATCTAGGTATCTAAACATGGTTTAACAGGTGACCTTTTAAATAGGTTGAAAATTATTGTTGAGTGCATAGTAGGTGTCTATATTCCCAACTGGTTTGACATTTAAGTAAATTCATGCTGAGTAGAAGGACCAATAAACTTAAACAAATGCAATTGCTAAAAAATCAAACTTAGGAGGTAATTGACATTTTTTTAACCACTTTCAAACAATCAACATGGTATGCTCACTCTGAATCAGTCTTGCAAAGTATGCTCTGTAGTCAAATTGAAAATGATTGAAAAGAAGCAGTTGATAAAATAGTTGAAATAAGAGGAGCATGGAATGATGCACTTCAATTTGGAGATCTTTTAGGATTCAAAAGACTCCTGCCATCATTATGGAAGCAACCTGTTTGTCTGAACTTATAGACTGGAGTGATGTCACAGAACCGCCTATAACATGTAATTTATCAACTGAAGCAGTTAAAGAATTTATTAACACTCCAATGAAAGTAACTAAGTGGACCTCTCATACATAATCTGTTGAAAGATGTAAGATAAAAATGTCATCTGAAAGTGCTTGCCATGTCTTCAGTCAGGCCAGAAGAAATACTTATATTCGTGGTCAATTGCTTGCAGACAATTAATGTCTGATAATTGTTGTAAGAAAGACATGGTAAACCTCATTAAAAATAATTACTTGCAAACTATTATTTAATCATCTTTAGTTAGATAACTGTTTCTTGGAGTTGTTTTTTTTATGAAGTAAATATAAGCATACAAGTGTATAAAAAGTTTGATGTTCTAATTTTTATTTTAAACTCTTCATAATTAAAATAATGAGCTGATATACATTGAGTTTTTGGTATTACAAATAAATGTGTGTATATATATATATATATATATATATATATATATATATATATATATATATATATATATATATATATATATATATATATATATATATATATATATATCAGTAGTGTACCCTCACAATTGTCCGGTGGCACAGGACAACTCGTTTTCTTAAAGGGTGACTAAAATTAAAAAATAAAAGCCTGTCAGTAGCCCAGCAGGGCGACCAGACAGTTAGTTACTTACAAGAATATTTAGTAATAAAACTACAATTAGAACTATGAAGATTTTATTCTTTGGGGTTGATTAAAATAAACTTTTATAAACCATTCAAAGTAGTATACATTTCATTTAATAACAAATATACTCTGGGGCATTATATAATTTTACTAAAGAAATAAAAAGAAGCCAACACGTGTTTTTTATTTCAAAGAACTGTTTTTTAAATATTGTTGTATTTTGAAGCATGTTTCTTGAATTTTTGTTAAAATAAGTTTTGAAATTTCAATTCAAAATGCTAACGTATCATTTTTCAAACATTTTAGTCAAATTTTGAATAATGTGAGTGAGCAGTTGAATCATTAACAACACTGAATCTCCTTTTGTTTTTATTGGTAAAATAATTTCTCAAATAAAATGTTCTTTGAGTTATGGCTTTCAACTTTTTTGCTCCTTGTAATTAAACTTTTGTTATGGTTGACAAAAAGAAACAAAATAAAATAGATATTGATACAATAAAAACAAACGAGTAAGAACATTTCAGACCGCTTAGCTTGTGGAGTTTTCTTGGTTGAGATACTCAAAATTAAGTGACTTATATCACAAGCAAAGTAAAAATTCTGTAAGCGTAAAGTTTTAGGTTTTGCACAACGAAAGAGTATCAGGAGAAAATCAGATGGCTGAAAATGAAAGCATTGAGTTTG